TTATTATTATAAATCCCCAGATCTCAGAGGCAGGACACCCTCTTTGAAATGCAGGGAACTCTAGACTGAAAAAAAGAGAGAATATTTTTCAAGCTCTGCTGGCACAGAAGAGGATTACAGGGTGAATAAAGTCCAACATAGCAGCTGGCCATGTGGTGCAGTGGGTAGTGTTCAGGAAACCTGAATTAGAATTCCAGACTGGGAATGGAAACTCACTGGGAGTGCTGACAGTGGGGGGGGGGGGAGAATGATTTCTTTAACGTCTCACATATCTTGAAAACCCTACTAGAATCACTGAATGTTGGGTGAGGCTTGATTGCACTTAAGAGCAACCGTTAAATGCGTTTAAAGTCATTTTCCAAGGCATTTGGATAGAGGGTTTTTTGAGTTCTATATCATTGTAATTTCAGCCCTAAAACCATGGCTATTGAACAGGCTTGCCTTTGAGAGCAATATCATGCATTGACCCCAACAAATTGTTTCCCCAAACCATCAAAGAAGCAACAGGAAGACATGACTTTTTTTAAAAATAAATCTTTTGAATGCCTCTAGCCCTGGAGTGTTCACCTCTTCCCGAGGTGATTTGTTCCATTGTCATACTGCTCTAATGGTTAGGAAGTTTTTCCTGATCTCTAACTGAAATCTTCCTGTAACTTGAGCCCATTATTTTCTCTCTCCATCACTCTGCAGAAATTTCCGACAGCAGTGCACCCTCATTAGCTTCTTGTAGTAAAAACAAAAAAGTAGAGTCTGACAACACCTTAAATATTAAAAGCTTTAAAGCATCATAAGCTTCCATGCGTATATTTAAAGAAGTTGGCTGCAGCCCACAATTTTTTATGCTAAATAAAATGTGTTAGTCATTAGGGAAACACAGGACTCTTCATCATTCCGACAGCCTCCCTTTTCTCCTTCTTTTCCAGTTCTGCTACACCTTTTGAGATAGTGCCCAGCTCCAGGTATATGTGACCCAGAACACCTCTATCCAAACAGGAATTCCTTGAGTGCTGAAAGATGGCTGATTATCACAAGGCGAGTTTCTCGTGCCTCCTTTAATTTGCATATTAGCTTGCTTTGTTTTGTGATTGGTTGCTGGGAGGTGAACACAAGCTCCCTTTGCGAGTATGATCACTCCGACATGGAGGCTGGATGGAATTGAGTCGCTCCAATGCGACTATCAGCTTTGAATGATAATCTGGATTTTGCCCACCCCAGCCACAGTCCTGCTCCCACTGAGTCTTACCTTCCAGCAATCGAATCCAGCGCACAGAACGAGCAGCAAAAGGCTCAGGCTGCCAAGAACCAGGGTCAACACCTCCATAATCATTACTGCTGCTGTGATTGCCATTCCACCTTCAGCCAGGATTTCGTCTTGTTAAGCAGGCTAACATCAGTGTGTTCCCTCTTGTGGAAAAAACAGAGAATACGTCTCCAATACGTAGGAGGTCGCTGTGTTGATTCGTAAGAACAGAAACAATCTCTGGATCCAAAGGCGGGTGATCCTTCGATTAACCCCGTGACAACTCCGCAGCACTGTGCAAGCCTCCAGGTTTTCCAGGATTCTTCATCCGGCTTATGGTAAAAACATTAGTCAGCTATCGTGAAGAAAAAAAACAACAAGGATCTTTGACATGTCTGTCCCTCTTGTCTTCTGTTTTTGAACCCTGTTGCTGGTGCGTATATTTTAGCAGTACCTTAGATCAGAGGTTGACAGACGATCTCGGACTACAACTCCCAGAAGTCTTGGCCAGCCCAGCTAGTGGCGAAGGCTTCTGGGGGTTGTAGTCTGAGGACACGACTGGGAACCACTGTGGCTTTGAGTGACAGGTCAGGAGTATGACTGTATCGGCCAATATTTTGGGATTTGCTCCATAGTGAGCACCAGTGATATTCAAGCTATTTCAGCCAATTAATCTTGCATGAGAAATACTACAGTCTGGATTTGCTCACGCCCCTGGCCTGACGCTCTAACTGCTACTCTACACTGCCCAATATAAACCTTTGGATGCTACATAAGAACTGTTCATGGGAGTGGTGGTGTTACACTGTTGTTACTCTGTTGGTCAGAATCCTATTGCAGATTTACGCCTGCATAAGAGAAATTGCATTTTTATTTATTTATTTATTTGATTTATACCCCACCCATCTGGGCTAAAAGGCCACTCTAGGCCGCCATGCTCTTTAATTAACAATGTGTCGGTTGCACTCCTGGTGGTGTGCTTGGTTATATGATCAGCAGGTAACCAGGAATAAACCTCCCATCTTATTAATAGTCTTGCATACCGCCTGGAGAAGGTGTAGCTGGGCAGGACCTTTCTAGGCTGGAGTGGCCGTCAATCAATCCAGCTCTAATTATTTATTTATTTGATTTATACCCCACCCATCTGGCCTAAAAGGCCACTCTAGGCAGCCATGCTCTTTAATTAACAATGTGTTGGTTGCACTCCTGGTGGTGTGTTTCGTTGTATGATCAGCAGGTAACCAGGAATACACCTCCCATCTTGTTAATAGTCTTGCATGCTGCCTGGAGAAGGTGTAGCTGGGCAGGACCTTTCTGGGCTGGAGTGGCTGTCAATCAATCCAGCACTAACCAATCATTCCCTGCTGGCTTTGGATTCAAAGAGAGCCCCGCCTCTCTGCTGAGTGCTCTTTTCCCTCTCTTGAGTGTGTTGAAGTCTGTTGTTGAAGGCAGTCATGTCTGTCAGTTTGCTTTTTGATCTGTCCAATGGTAAGTAAGGCAACCTTTTTATTCTTTCTACTATTAGTGTCTCAAAAAAGTGAGTGATTGAGACTTGAAAGTGCTGGCTAAAGGGGTAGAAAACTCTGTGGAGCTATTCTGCTCTGTGAATCCCTGCACTTCTAGAGCGATTTGACCAAAAATTCAAAACGACAACAATTTTATTCAGTGTGTACGAATTGCCAGTCATATTCCGATTGTTTTTTTAAAAAAAGCAGTTTAAATGAGTTTTAAGTATTTAAACTTTATTAATAATGTCTTTGCTTTAGTTTATTTTAATACTGTTTTAACATGGCAATTGTTGCTTTTAAATGTGTTCCGGGTGGAAAACTCTGTGGAGCTATTCTGCTCTGTGAATCCCTGCACTTCTAGAGCGATTTGACCAAAAATTCAAAACGACAACAATTTTATTCAGTGTGTACGAATTGCCAGGCATATTCCGATTGTTTTTTTTTTAAAAAAAAGCAGTTTAAATGAGTTTTAAGCATTTAAACTTTATTAATCATGTCTTTGCTTTAGTTTGACACGTTATTTTAATACTGTTTTAACATGGTAATTGTTGCTTTTAAATGTGTTCCTATTATTGATTTTATTTACCATTTTTAATGCATTTGTTTCATTCTTTTAAAATATTTGTATGTATATATATAGATGTAAGCTGCTTTGGGTCCTTTTTTTGGTCTAGATGAGTGGGGTATAAATCTAATAACATAAATAAATAAATTTAAGGAGAAAGGCGGGTAAAAATATTTTTGAACATTAAAATAAATAAAGAGTGCATTTTAAAATCTATATTCTAAGCTGCCTTGCGTTCCACAAAGGGGAAAAAAGGTGGGGTGAGGATAAACGAATAAAATAAAGACAATTCTGTTGGAAGTGAGAAAATTCTTCTGCACATAATTTCCCTGATGAAACCAAAAGCTTTTTTTAAAAAAAATGTGGACAAAGCTTTTGCATCTTGCTGTCGGTTTGGATAAAGACCACTCTCACCCTTTCTTAAACTGCATGAAACACGTCTGAAAGATGGGAAAATCCAGTCCTGCCACCTTAAGGCAGGGGAAAAAGGAGAGAAGGCGGGTGCTTTTTCTGCAGAGCTGCTGCTGGTGGTGGGAAGATGATGGTGACATCATCCACCCAGCCCTTGTACGGGAGGAGTGGGAAACGGGGGTGGGTGGGGGGAAATCAACCAACGCTTCAAGGGGCCCGGCAAGCAAACCCAAGACACCAGAGAACACAGCAAGATTTTGGACCTCACATCTTTCGTCCCTTCAGTTTTCGAAAGGATGCTCGACCTTCTGGCATAATCCAGGTAAGTCTCTTTCCTCCTGCAAGCTGGACCAGACGGGCCTTCCGGGCAAGGATGCTCGGGAGATGCTGATGCAGCAGACGCAGGACCGGAGGAGAGAAAAAGGGACAGGCTGACATTTATTTTAGCTGGGTGAGCTATTTAAGGTCCAAAGGGAAAGCTTGATTCTGCAGTAAAGGGGGGAAAGTATTCCCTCAGTGATCATGATTTTAGGCTTTTCCCCTCTCCCCTTTCTCCCTGTCTCCCTCCTTTCTCTCCTTCCCTCTGGAATCAGAGGGTGGGAACATTACTTTTTTTTTCTCTCCAAATGGCATTTCCCAGAAATAAGCAGTCAGCGTGTCATGGGGTGGGGTGGGGGAAGCAACGTTCCCCAAATCTATTTGAGATCAGAATGATCTGCTAAGAGCGGTACCAGTTAAGGATGCTGCAAAGCCCTTGCTCAGATCTGAGGGCTTGTTCTTGACCCTTTTGATTCTCATTATTTTAAAGTGGCTAGTCCTCATGGTTCCAGAGACACAGGAGGTCATAGGCAGGCCATACTTTATCCGGTGGCTCAAGGCCAAGCAAACCTGCTTTCCAGTCCTTTGGCCAATAAGTGTAAAAGCTCATGAATGACCAACCAATGATCGTTAGGAGAGTATCTACCTCTCTTTTTTTTAAATGTGACCAACATGGTAGGATGATTCATTTGATTGGACAAATAGCTTAGGCTGCTCGTGGTTGTTGTGTTTTTTCCCCTCCCAGAAGTAATTTTGCTGGTTAAACAGTCAGCAAGTTAGATCAAGGAGCTGCGTGATATCCCAGGGGGGGAAAAATCCCCGCAGACAGAAATCTAGCTTTTCAGGAAGAACACTGAACTTTGCTTTTCTTCCTGCAAAGCAGAAAAGTGGGGGCCCTGTTGTTGTTCTTGTTTTAAAAATTGTAGTTAGTTAATTTATGTTTTTAAATGGATTGTCATCGCTTTCCTGCTTTGAACATGTTCTGGTGCCGCTCATCTGGCACTTGTTTGAACCGTTTGGATGTGTATACTTAACCCTTTTTCGTGTCAAATACTGCCTCTGAAGAAGGCCAGCTGCCTTGGGTCCTTTTTCAGGAGAAAGGTGAGGGGTAAGATGATCTTGAATGAATAAAATAAAATAAAATATGTTAGCTTGCAGTTCTTATGGCCAGTTAAGTATGTCTTAGAATTCAGACATTTTGACCTTTTAGGCTGGGCAAAAACCAGGGACTTGAGTGACAGAAGTCGCTGTCAAGTTGGACATCAGTTGCATCTGGAACCATGAGGACTAGCCACTTGACTCGAATTTTTTCTCTCCCAATGACTCCGATTTGACTTGCAATTCAGAACTCACCCACCTCATCCTTTTCTTCTGGGGGGGGCAGGGGAAGCTTGCTTTTCCTAGGGGCTCAGACATGGGGTTTGGTATTTGGGACTAAAGATTTGGGCCTCGGATCCAAGGATTCGAACTTGGGACCCAGACCCAAAAGTTTTTGCCTGGACCTGGGACTTGGTACCAAAGACTCCGACTCAGACTTGGGACTCAGAACCCAAAAGACTTGTCAAGATCCGTGATAAATAAATCTGTGCCAAACCTAGGAAACGGCCAAAGATTGATGTATTCCAGCGAGGCCGGATTCAGCTTAAGGGCCTACGGTTCCCGACACCCCCTGTGATAATGGAATGAAAGGGCATGAAGCGAAATAAACCCTGCTCTTTCTGTACAGGCAAGGCCACCATGATCCCTCCGGTCGCCGCGGCGAGTCCTTCCGGCGAGGCGCTCTTCCCCGCCCTCTCCTCTCAGGAACGGTGGTGCTCGCAAGTGGCCGGCTACGCTGGCTCCATCCCCGCCATATCAGCCACCGGGCCAACAACTTTAAAAGGCACCCCAAGAGGAGGAAACACATCCGGCCGTCCCCGCCGCCTCCCCCCAACACCCCTTGCCCCATCGACCGCATCCATTTCGGCGAGATCCACCCGCCGCGGTCCTTCCTGGAACTGCTGTTCAACGGGTGCATCCTTTTCGGGATTGAGTTCAGCTACGCCATGGAGACCGCCTACGTGACGCCCGCCTTGCTCCAGATGGGGTTGCCGGATCAGCTTTACGGGATGGTTTGGTTCATCAGCCCCATCCTGGGTGAGTGACTGAAGGGTGCGG